CACCTGTGACACACCCACCTGTAACGTGACATCCCCACCTGTGACACACCCACCTGTGACGTGACACCCCCACCTGTGACACCCCCACCTGTGACACCCCCACCTGTGACACCCCCACCTGTGACGTGACACCCCCACCTGTGACACCCCAACCTGTGACGTGACACCCCCACCTGTGACACACCCACCTGTGACACCCCCACCTGTAACGTGACACCCCCACCTGTGACACCCCACCTGTGACGTGACACCCCCACCAGTGACCCCCACCTGTGACACCCCCACCTGTGACGTGACACCCCCACCTGTGACACCCCACCTGTGACGTGACACCCCCACCTGTGACCCCCACCTGTGACACCCCCACCTGTGACGTGACATCCCCACCTGTGACGTGACACCCCCACCTGTGACATCCCCACCTGTGACACCCCCACCTGTGACGTGACACCCCACCTGTGAAACCCCCATCTGTGACGTGACACCCCCACCTGTGACCCCCACCAGTGACACCCCCACCTGTGACACCCCCACCTGTGACGTGACACCCCCACCTGTGACACCCCCACCTGTGACACCCCCACCTGTGACGTGACACCCCCACCTGTGACGTGACACCCCCACCTGTGACCCCCACCTGTGACACCCCCACCTGTGACGTGACACCCCCACCTGTGACACCCCCACCTGTGACGTGACACCCCCACCTGTGACACCCCACCTGTGACGTGACACCCCCACCAGTGACCCCCACCTGTGACACCCCCACCTGTGACGTGACACCCCCACCTGTGACACCCCACCTGTGACGTGACACCCCCACCTGTGACCCCCACCTGTGACACCCCCACCTGTGACGTGACATCCCCACCTGTGACACCCCCACCTGTGACGTGACACCCCCACCTGTGACATCCCCACCTGTGACGTGACACCCCCACCTGTGACACCCCCATCTGTGACGTGACACCCCCACCTGTGACACCCCCACCTGTGACGTGACACCCCCACCTGTGACCCCCACCAGTGACACCCCCACCTGTGACACCCCCACCTGTGACGTGACACCCCCACCTGTGACACCCCCACCTGTGACACCCCCACCTGTGACGTGACACCCCCACCTGTGACCCCCACCTGTGACACCCCCACCTGTGACGTGACACCCCCACCTGTGACACCCCCACCTGTGACGTGACACCCCCACCTGTGACACCCCCACCTGTGACGTGACACCCCCACCTGTGACGTGACACCCCCACCTGTGACACCCCCACCTGTGACGTGACACCCCCACCTGTGACACCCCCACCTGTGACGTGACACCCCCACCTGTGACACCCCCACCTGTGACACCCCCACCTGTGACACCCACCTGTGACACCCCCACCTGTGACACCCACCTGTGACGTGACACCCCCACCTGTGACACCCCCACCTGTGACGTGACGCCCCCATCTGTGACACCCCCACCTGTGACGTGACACCCCCACCTGTGACACCCCCACCTGTGACACCCCCACCTGTGACGTGACACCCCCACCTGTGACACCCCCACCTGTGACGTGACACCCCCACCTGTGACACCCCCACCTGTGACACCCCCACCTGTGACAATCCCACCTGTGACACCCCCACCTGTGACGTGACATCCCCACCTGTGACACCCCCACCTGTGACACCCCCACCTGTGACACCCCCACCTCCTCCTCACTTTCTTTCTTCTGCTTCTTCTTCTTCTAAAATGTTCGGTAAGATAAAATTACGTTATCAGGTCTGTGTATTGATAATAGGTACGTTGATATCTGCTTATTTTAATAGCTTTGATGAAAATGATACTAAATAATGTATCATTAATATGAGACCGACATTTTCCACATCCGTCCAATGGAATTGTTCATCTGTAGTAGATGCCATTATTGTATGATTGACGGAAGAAGTTTAAAATCATCAAATATCTTCTACCATAACACAAATCAAGAGGTCATGACATTTGGTCAGTCGAAAGTTTCGTCTCAGAAGGCATTGCAAAATAATTAACCTGCGAAAATGAAAATTCCTGAAGGCACAAATTTAAGAGAATGAAGATAGAGATAAATTTATAGATTTGATTTTTTCCAATTTGATAGTTAATATGTTTTCATTAATTTGATAAGTCAAATATTCACAGCAGTGATGAAAATAAAACGGAGATAAAAAAGCTTACTTAAGCTCTTAAAAATAAAAAAAAATCGTCGTGTTTATTCAAATTTTAAAAGAGATAAAACTAAAAGGTCTAAATGGCATGTAACCTCATTCTGATGAAAATGGTATTTATATATGGTTAGAGGCTACACGACAGAGGATTTATTAAAGGTTTTTATTTGATTATCTGCGTTGTTTACTTGATGTCGAATGATGCTGGTGAACCCTCATTATGTAACATTAGATAATGACGTCATCAATTGGGTACATGGATCAAATAGCTGCCGTCATAGGGAGTACGGTATTTGTATGAAAATTTCACCTGTTGGCTAAAAATTGGAAATGAGTAATAGGTGAATTTATCACCAAGTTCCACCATGGAGACTTACGGAAGTATGTTACCTCTCTGTGACAGGTCTTTTTGTGGATAACGTTGACATATTTGTATGTTTAAAAAAGGCATTCTCATAGCTGTGATTTCAACAGAAGTACAGTCTTCAATCTACAATACACATACTGATATGATAAACCGATACACATACGTCATTCGACTCACATCAAAAGATGTCTGTTTAAATTTATCTAAAAAAAAAGAAGAAAAAATGGAGAACATTGATATGTTGAACAGATGTTAATTATATTTTATTAAACTAAATCAAGATTTTAAAACATTGATGCAAAGTCACGTTTGTTTATTGATATATGTCTCCCTGGTTTATAAGAAGATGTTTTTACCCATTCAGTAGATTAAATACTTTGTGTCAAAAGACACGTAAGATCGTTGCAACTAATATATTTATAGGCTTCCAATCAGTGTCACTTACGATGTTAAACCAGTTCAATCAGCAGAAATAGCAGAAATATCAACGGTTCAGGTCAAACGTATTGTATTGTCCATAAGTAAACGAATTATGAACAAATAACATGAACTTCATCAACGCCCCTAATCATGAATGGGGGGAGAGAGAGAGAGAGAGAGAGAGAGAGAGAGAGAGAGAGAGAGAGAGAGAGAGAGAGAGAGAGAGAGAGAGAGAGAGAGTTTTATTTATTTACTTGTTTATCGGTTGTACATCCACTATTGCGGCCTTTCAGCTGCCGATTGGTTACTTGTATGACAAGCCAATTAATATGCAATTGAAATACAGCTTCGTTGTTACACAACATTACGCAACTAGCTATACTACTTGAATAATAATAATTTCAACAAAATTTCAGTCTGAGTTTCATTAATGACCTGGCTAAATTATAAATACAATTATCGGTAAATTTAGCCTGGATACCATTATATAATCAAAGTTACTCAATGTGACCATAAATCGGCGACACGTTGTCATCTTCACTCGCTAATTACACTCAACAATTATAACTATAGCGAGTTACTCCACTGTAGAAACAGCTATTTCTCACAGCCAAACACATTTCCTTCTTTTTCTTTCGGAATGTTTGAGCGATGGTTAAATAAATAGTAGGTGTGTGTTAACACAGTATAAACTCACACTTACGTAAGTACAACACCCTACCTGTGTGACGTCTTCAGTACTATCGTTCTCATGTAACAGGGGTCAGGCAAAGGGTGTGTTTCAGTACATGTAATGCGTTCACCACCCTTAGGGCCCATTCCTGTTAATTTCCGGACTTTATAAATTCATAATCCTTTATCCGAGTTCTCCCTGCAGTCCTCTATGGTTAAAAAACCAATTACATGTCCCGTTTTCACAGTAGTTAGGATAAAATGCTCTTAACGCACGAAAATATGTTGTCATATTACGTAACTTCACAGTGATTAATTGATGTGTTTTTCACGGAGCCACAGATACAGAAATGAACATACCAAAAGTACATGCCTAAGAATTTGTCTAAACCTGACACCTTACAAATTTAACTTTATTGATTCAAGTAGCTAACATATGAAGATTTAAGTCCTGACCTTACAATTTATTTTCCGTTTAAAATTCTATTTCTCAATCAATTTTAGTTGGGACGTATATACGTCCCTGATATAAGTAAATGTCTGGTCATATCAGACACAAATGTCCAGTATTTTCTTCTCTTTTCTAAACCTTGATTGATTCTGAAACATAACCCTAAAAGAAAGGGGGCGGGGGAATGGGATGCTAAAAATAAAAAGGGTTGAAATAGGCAACTGAAATAATAAACGAAAAGATGGTTCTACACTAAATATAATATCCGCTTAAACGAGACGCTAGAGATAAATAAAATAGGTTTCCGTTGACAGTCTGTCTAGTTTGTTAAATCAGTTGAAGTATGAACAAAAGACAGCGGAACCCCCCCCCCCCCCCCCCCCAAAAAAAAAAAAAAAACAGAGCCATATACTCTAAAAAGTGTTATATTTAAATCTCAAAATTGATAACAAAAGGTTGTATAATTATTGCGTTGTGTTTACTTGATTTACCTCCCTTAGTCACGTGGTATATAATCTAGCGGGAGAGTCATAACAAAGAAACAGCTACCTGCAAGCATTTATTTGTTATTATGACTTAATTTGTATCACAAATAATTAAATTCCGACAGATTCTATACCAGAGTGGGAATATCTATACTGACAGCTGTCAAAATCGGCATAGCGTGTATTCCAAGTGATAAACAAATTTCAAAAATGACATTTCGTGCCAAGCACTGTAAATTGGCTCCAAATATCACGTTCATATAAAGACCAATCAAACAGACGCTTTCAATCAAACGTCCAATCAGATCACGCGTTACATGATATGGTAATTGCACACGTGGTACAGCGATTGTCAAATACTCACCACGAGGTTGGCAGTTTACACCGCGTGGTTCGAGCGAAGTGTCAAGAGTTTATATTGATCTGTTTGTGCAGATTTTATCGTTAATTCTGAGTTATATCATCTTCAGTATTGAAAAATGACCGACGCAGGAAAAGTCAAGCGAGGTAAGTTTCCCTTTCACGCTTCTAAAATGTCATAAGAATGTTTATTTGTGCGAGTTGCTACAGCTGTCAAATGTTTGACGTATCTCGACGTTACAGACCACGTGCTCTGGTAACAAAGACCGGACGCATTTATTTGTAATTTGCGGATAATTCAACACTTTTGTAGTAATAATTTATGTGTATTCCCGTAACTGTATCATTAATGATGCTAAATATTCATATCTGATGCAATATCATATTAAATGTGACGTTTTAGCGACTTAACCATGCTTGCCATATTGAAATCAGCGCGATGGCCGATCCGGATGTCGGCGTGCTATTTATTTACCTAGTAGACAGTTTCCCGCGTTTGGTCAAAACATGGCTTCTTGGTTTTTCGCCATATATCGTTAATACGGTAGTTCAAACGAAAGTGATTTGAAGTATAATGATTAGTTGAGAAATTTATGAATGACGCATGTAGTTCGGATATTGAGACGGATATGCTAGTCATGTCTATATTTATAGTTCGCCGAATATAAAATGTCATCACACCTTGACATAACTCTTAAAACAATTGGACATTTTGTCAAATGTTTTGTGTGTTTTTTTTTTTACATTGTAAATTAGATACATTACAGTTTAAATTGTACTTTTTATATCATAAACAGTAACATAAATTCAAATGTAATTTATTTATTACTTGACAGGTCGTGACTTCAAATTCTCCCGTCCATGGGAACACTGTTTTGGATCTGACCAGGATGATCAAGATCTTCATGAGAAAAAGAAAGATCCATTAAGATCTCAGATTGATGCAAGAAAACGCAGAGGAAATTTGCCAAAAGAAGCTGTGAGAATTTTGAAAACCTGGCTCCATGAGCATCGTTACAATGCTTATCCCTCGGATCAAGAAAAGGTGTCTCTGTCGAGTGCTACTAACTTGACAGTTCTACAGGTATGCAACTGGTTCATCAATGCAAGGAGGAGAATTCTGCCTGAGATGATCAAGAAAGATGGCCAGGATCCACTTCAGTACACAATTACCAGAAAACATAAACAATCATTGCTAGACCGTGTCACCTTTACAACAGGAGAAGAATCAAACATGGAAAGTGGGTATGATGGAAATGATGAAATATACAGGTCCAGAATGCCTTTTCTCATAGACACTGATGGATATATGTCCGATTGCGAGGCGTCTTCATCTAGTGACTTTAATTCCGAGTCTGAATCTGTGTCTGATACAAGTGATGGTATGTCCAGTCGGTTTCACGAGCATAGTTACACACAGCGATATGAGCGAGTACCAGTTCAGGACCATTCATCAATTCCCAGTCATGAACTTGTTCGCAAGGATTCATACCCTTCAGATGACAACACCCCACCCCCATCGCCTCCAGAGCCCGCACCCGTTAACCATACCCCAGAATCATTCAACGCTTTCCTCATGCTTGTTGATGTTGCAATGAGTCAGCTTGAGAAACAGAAATGTGAAGAGGCGACACACGAATCTCCACAGAAATCATTCATTTCCATGTGAAATTAACACAATGACAATTTGAAAATATATACTGTTAATCAAGTTTACCATTGTGCAAGATGGGATATATATACAAATATTTCATGGATAGAGTTATGAAATATTTTGACACAAACTTTATAATTTTGTGAGTTTTGTATTAAACAATTGAAGCAATGGGATGTGCATATTTTAATAACTGGACACATTATGTACCATTTTGACAAAGTGACATGTACAGTGATTTAATTGTCTATATTCTGCCTCAGGATGTTTTATTTATCTTGATGAAGTCGACTGGATTAATAAATATATATTGGCAGCCTGAAGGTATTAGAAATGGCAGCTCTTACATAACTGTAGAAAATATACTGTTTACAAATACTAGAAATAAACATTGGCTGTAGGAGTGTAATCTTGAGTGGTAAAATTTTATGTGAATGGAAAAGTGGGTTATGATGATGATAGTTTTTAAGATTTCAGCTCTTTTATGTCAATATCTTAATTATAAATTGGGGAGAAATCATCTTAATTCACTTACATGCAATGTTGATGTGAAGAGCTACAGTTATCAATAAAAGCCGAGTAGAGGGGAAGCCATATTAAGCAGCCATTAGCTAATGTCAAGGTGCCGTGGCCATGTTAATTGATAAGACAGGTGGGCCATCTACCTTTGGTACACCGACCACATGGTATATATACAACGGTCGCGTACCCTGCCTGTGTTTACAACCTATTTCCCGCGTTGGGTCGACTTTGACAGCCATTGTAATCGGGCCGGTTTTCCACTGCAATGATTGGCTGAGGAGACTAGACTGTATACATGTGTGTATGTGAACTCGCAAGGCAGTGCGTGTGTATAAATGATCAGGGCTTATTTTACACGGGCAGGGCGAGAGATACTGGAAAGATACTGATCTAAATCCGGACTTAACTTTCCTAAGTGTTTTATGCTGGCTGCATTTGATAGTTTTGTTTAACGAAAGCGGTTATTGTACATGATATACTTTTATATGTTGTTAAAACTGTTATGTGTACACCACACTGTCAAGATCTACGATTCTGTTATTTTCATGTTCAAACTTAGACTTGTATATTTAGAAAGGCTTTTGAAGGAGACTGACTGTTTATATATGTATGCATGACATGAACTGCCAACTTTATTCTCTGCTCAGATGAAATATATTCCACTTAAAAACTCTCAATTGATTATTCAGTTTGACAAATTGCATTTATAGAGACATTGTATATTTTGAAATTATTTGTATTAAAACCTGAAAAATAAATATGAAATCCTTTGAAATTGTGGCTTGTGATTTTTAAAAATTACATTCTCTGTGACTGTGAGAATTGTTCCTTTGTTAAAGCATTTGCTTGTCATGAGCATTTGTACGAGAAAACGAGTACACATGGACTCTGATGTCCGCTGACAACCACTTTACTTTTATATTCACTTTTACACGTCTTACGAGTTCCAGTTAATTTACGAAAGTCTTTTAAGTTCAGACAAAGAAGCGTTGTCAAAGTAGTTTATATCAATAGACTACCTGTGAGATGACTACGTTAGCTGGCATGCTTAGAGAAGATAAACACAGGATCACTGAGGCCACGGCAGAGCGTGGCCATTGACTCTTGTTTACAGCCACGCGGTGGGGCTATAGCGAGTTCAAGGCTGATGATCACTCAAGCGTGTCCTCTGCACTGTCGACGGATTTCATTGGACGAGTGTTCGCGCTAAAATACTACGCAACATCATGACAAACACACAATGTCGTTTTGCCCATAGGTTTTCTTTACAAGTATATCGACTATCGATCCGTGGTGTTGGGTTTTGTGGACATACTGCATGTCAACAGCAGTATGTGTTTACATTTAAATAGCGCCCCAGGGTCACATGGTTTCTACCGGGGTTTACATACAGGTAAACGTCTAGCTATTTAAAAGCTGCAAGCCATGTGTTGCATATAATATTTCCTTAGCGTAATCACGAATTTGGATATAGATCTTAGTCTACAGGTATATTCGGGCCTTTCCAAAAGACAAATTTCCTAGGTGTAGTAGCATATCAGGTGATATAACCAGGAGACAAACACCGTACTGATTAACATTCGTACTAAAGGCCACGATTTTAGAGCACGTGACCGCCGAAGTTAAGTGATTTTGTCATTATTCAGGATCTGTTTGTTTAAATAACCATTTGTAAGATTTCTAAGAAAGTCTGGCGAGATCCAAGCCGTCTCTTTCTCGTTTTGGTTACAAAGATTGTTCAAAAGACAAGTTAATGCACATTTAAATACAATTTACAGTTTAATAAACTAGAGCTAAATATGAACTGCATCACACAGCTACTTCTTCCTTCGAAGTTGGTCAGTGACAATCTTAAAAGTCTTAAAGAGACGGCTGAGGCAAACCAAAATTGATCGAAAGAAAATTGTCTGGAATGGCAGGTGCACTAGCTTCATACAGTTCGTAACTTTAATATGTCTCATAATTTCAGAAGATTGTCAAGTCAATAAATATCAGAGACGTATATATGTGTTAAATACGTCTCTGTAAATATCAGACCACAGATTTCTTCTTTCATGTCTTTAAAATGAGAGACAATTTAAACAGTCAATGGTTTCCGGGGAGAATCAGATGTCACAACTCTTAGAAGAACAAATTAACAACACCACGGAAAGGATTTTTTACTTTTATTTATCCGGCAAAGATTTTGTCAATATAATATCAGATCCACGGGTAAACATTCTTAAAGGGTTACGTTCAATCTGATCATTTTACGTTTCGCGCAATCTTGCTAACGGAAATGAAAACAACATGAGAAAACTTTTCAACCTTTTAATCATATCAGGGATTTAGATATATACATGTCCACTTTCAACATTACAACAACAGCCTCATCAGATTAAATTGTTACCCCTGACTCTTGGTTTGCCAACATTTGTTTGAAAAATATTATTTCGAACGCTCAATACTTTTAGTGAGAATGGAATTTGTCTTCCTGTTTTTGTTGCATACGCGTATTTTATGCATATACCATGTTATAAATATGGTTCATTGTGCTATCAAATGACATTATTGGATAGCAAGCGAAGCTTGATAATTGTATGTATCGAATCATAATACTGGATACAGAGAAAAAAAAAAGAAAAGAAAATTCGATTTGTACACCTCAAATATACTCCTTGTCTTCATGCCTGTCTCCTCTCAGTTGGTTGACGTCACAAATATTTGAAAGCATTATCTCATGAATATGAGTTGAGCGAGTCGATATTTTCTCCACGTGGTGACTCATGGGAAATCTTCTACATCAGCTGCTTATCTCCATGTTTTCCTACAACGCAACTAACAAGAACAGTCTACCTCCAACTTGTATGACTAAACGTGATGCTTTCAATTTCCCTATTGTGATTTTTATCGTTTCTAGATAGCAATATCCCGCATCCCCAACCTACGGTGTCTACATGCCGTAGTTGATTCGATATTCAAGGACCTGTTACATGATTATCACGATTTTCGTGCAAAAAGTCATCAACTGACGGACAAACTCGTAACACACAGTTTCAAAAGATGCAGGTTTATGAAAATTTTGGGGAAGTTTTATGGTTGCCGTAGTAATATCATTGAGAAATATTCTATTTCTTTGTGCGATATGAAGCTGGGCGTGTTTGATGCTCGTTAGTTTTCCTGTTGCTTCCTTTGATGCATACTTCGTTCTCAATTGAGAACGTGACATTACTTACTTGGATAGACCAAGGAGCAGGAGACGTCGTTTACTCTTCCGGAACACCTGGTCATCACTTCCTTGGATTTTTTCAGGAGTTTCCGTGTAAACCTTTCTTCAGTGCTCATGTTTTGCTCTAGTTTTATCAGAGACATATATACGTCTCTGGTTTTATAGAATTTGAATTTGGATTATGATTTTATGTTGGTACCAGGCTCGTCTGTCAATACACACATAATGAATAATGGATTTGACTGGATATATTCCTTACTCTCTAATAAAGTCTTTAAACGGGACCAAATTATCATCAATTTCCGCACACCTGCAACAGTATTGGCCTTGGTCTAAGCAGTTCCCGCCAAGAGCAGGCGAATGTAAATAACGATTATCTCCCTTCCCGGAAGTTTACATGGAGATAAATGAAGTATGAGGAAAAGCCGGTGCAAGTGCTAACTTTATCGATGGTGTCAACTGACAAGACTGGTAAACGTAAAAGTGGTTATATGTGACGATCATCAAACAAAATATTTATTTACTGGAATGGGTTTGTCTGTTGTTTACAAATTCATTTGTATGTTATTGTTTTACGTGCTATTTTTAAGAAGTTTCTTCCCGATACGAAATGGTTTGTCAGGATTTTCTGAACATTCCGATTTCTCACTCGAATTTTTCAACAAAAATGCTACCCATCGTCCTGATCTTTTGTCAGCTTTAAACCCTCCAATATTTAAGAAAATGGTTTTTGTCTTGATCGATGCTTTGAGGGCAGATTTTGTGTTCAGCGAAAAATCGCCTATGACGAGTTTACAAAATTTATTGACAAATGGAAAGGCTTTGAGGTACATTGCAAGGGTCCACCCTCCAACGGTCACTTTACCCAGGATCAAGGTACGTCAAAGTTTCAAGGCTTAATTTCAATTTAATTTTAAATACGTGAAATGTAGCTGTTTTACTACGAATAACAAGAATAAAAAATATAGAGAATATATGGTCAATGACTTGAGTTATAAGCTGTAATTTATATCGAGAATACATGGTCAGTGCCTTGAAATTTAAGCTGTATTTCATATAGATAATGTATGGTCAGGGTCTTGAAATTTAAGCTGTATTTTGGCTTAGGACAGAAAGATGAAAGTGGCCCACCACTGGGTGTGAGAATTACAGGCAGTGAGGATTACAAGGAATGAGCTTTGTGGAGAGTTGGGATTACAAGGAGTAAAGATTACAGGGAGTGAGGATTACAGGGAGTGAGAATTACAGGGAATGACATTTACAGGAAGTGATGATAACAAGGAATGAGCTTTGCGGAGTGGGGATTACAAGGAGTAAAGATTACAGGGAGTGAGGATTACAGGGAATGAGATTTACAGGGAGTAAGGTTAAGTGGGAGTGAGGATTACGGGAAGTGAGGATAATAGGGAGTGAGGATTACAAGGAATGAGTAGTTTATTTCCACATTTTATAACCATTTATTCTTTGATATTTGTAGGCATTGATGACTGGCAGTATTCCTGGGTTTGTTGATGTGGTGTTGAATTTTGGATCCACTGAACTGCTTGAGGACAACATTATAGAGCAGATGAGGAGAGCGAAGAAGAGGGTTAAGTTTTACGGTGATGAAGTATGGATCAAATTATTTCCTCACCACTTTGTTGAGTCTGATGGAACCACATCCTTCTTTGTCACTGATTATACCGAGGTGAATCTTGTACAAATTAGGATTTCTTTTTGAACCAATCATATATGTAAGATTAATCTTGTAGAACTTAGAATATTACTTTGTTTTTGTAACTGATCATACATATGTGACTTTTCAAAATAGTAGGAAGAGCTGAGGCCAGGTGTAGTAATACTGTGACTGCCGACATGTTTCGGCCTGCTAGGCAGGCCGTCATCAGGGCACACTTTATTGGTCTGCCTGTTACATGGTGATACAAGATGTATAGTGAATAACAATAGTCACATGTGACTTTTGTTAGAATGAAGATTTTTTTAACTAACATTTATGACGTCTTCTAGAAAACCCCTGAACCGATTTTAATGAAATATTGCAGACGTTTTCCATAGACTATATACCCCTTATATTTAATTCTCAATTGACATTAATATTACTGGTATTCAGTAAGTAGAAAAGACAGAGGGTAGATCAGGAACAGATTCAAAACTGCTGAAAAATACTAGTATCAAAATTTACATTACTGTACCTTCAATACGAAAATCCAACTCAAACTGTTTGGTTAATACATGAAACTTATCTGTTCAGTAATCAATAATTACAGTTAGTTATTGATTATGAAATTGGGACTGATTCCTATCACTAGAATTTGAAATCCTGACCTTAGGAGTTGCTTCTCTCCTTTACTTTATGAAACTTAGATTTGACATGAATGTAATAAAAAAATACAGACAATATCATTAGCACTAGCAGTTGTTGTGTTTTTTTATGTGTATTACAGGTTGACAACAATGTCACTAGACATGTATTACCAACCCTCAGAACTGGACAATATGATGTCATGATTCTTCACTACACTGGGCTTGACCACATTGGTCACATGGCAGGCCCTACCAGTCCACTGATACCTCCCAAACTTGCGGAGATGGACGCCATCATTAAAGACATCTATGAACATGTGGAGCAGGTGAACTTGACCTCTCTAAGTCCATGTTATTTATCACACCTGAGATATTGTGTTGAAGAGAAATCACACGTTTTAAACATAAACACATAGAAGAGTAAGGTAGCATACATCCTTCAGTCAAAGCATTAACATTCATTTGCCACTGTTTGTAATGAATTATAAATTAAGAGAAATATTTTATGTTAGATTATTATTTGTAAATATAATATTTCCAAAGCTCCAATTTTAACATGTTATTTCACAGTAAGAAATAGTCAAGATTAGACTTGGTGTAAGAAAATATTGATTTACTGGTAATATAAAGACATTGCATGCATGGGAACTGTCTTTCATTTAAATTTGTCCTGAGGGCAAAAAATATCCCTGGTGAATGTTTCCAGGCATACAATACTGATCGGAAAAGTTGTTTCCTTTTTGTGAGAAGAGTTGGTATGTAAATCTAATGATTTGACACATCAGTAACTAAATCAGAGCTGACATGGATTTTCATCTTGAATTCAGCATGGAATTGCCAACAAGTCTTATATATAAATATGGTATAAATCAAAGTAAAGATGGTTCTTTTATGCTATCATGATGTCACCCTGTGTTTAAAGTCAGTTTTCTGTCAGTTTTGAGGCTATCTTAAACAATGTGTGATTCCAGCTGATTTTAGAGACCACCATGATGTCACCCTGTGTTGAAAGTGTTTTCTGTCAGTTTTGAGGCTATCTTAAACAATGTGTGATTCCAGCTGATTTTAGAGACCACCATGATGTCACCCTGTGTTGAAAGTGTTTTCTGTCAGTTTTTGAGTTTCTCATTATCACTGTTTCTTGAGAAGGACTGTAAGGATCTTTCTAAAATTCATTGTGTAGGTTCCTCATGGTCTTAAGTTGTGTAGGATTTATTTCAGGTCTGAAAAAGCTAAGACAAACACTCCATCTTGGATTTTAATAATTTAAGTTTGTAATTGTGATTTCTTCAGGAGTATTGCAACAAATCTTTCTGATTTTCTCTTTGGTTGTTGTGTGCAAGTTAATTTGTTGGACAAACAAGAGAAACAATATGGCCAGCATGGACAGCCATCTTGGATTTTGATAGTAAAAATTTGTAATTGTTTTTAATTCTGATATATCTTTCTCTTATTTCATATGTAGCTTTCCATTGGTCCTGATTTTAATATCAAAAGATTGTTGTTTTTATTTATATTTAATAGATTGAAATGGATTTTTAAAAAAACATTTGCTTGCATGTTTTCCTTGTATAAAATCACACAATACATTAAACTCTCAATACAAAGCAAGAGGAAAGAAAGAGCAAACTTAAAAAGAACCAATAAAATATAATAAAATGGTGGGCACTGGGGTGGCTATATACAAGGGAAGGGGCTTATATGTGACTCAATATTTCAATTTCAAGAGTCCTAGTTCCTCTTTAGATATCACTCATTAATACATTTAATGCTTGTCTTATTTATTTAAATCCCTCAACCTGACATCTGGACACTAATTGCACTCAAATCATTATTTTATATCAGGACAAAGAAGCAGAGACCCTTGTAGTTGTAAGTGGGGACCACGGAATGAGTGACCAGGGAGGCCATGGAGGGACTACACAAAGCGAGACCAAAGTGCCTCTTCTACTCCTCAGCCCCAAGTTTACACCACACAAAGGTAAATTTCCATGGATGGGCCACACCCGGTGAGACCAAAGTGCTTCTTCTTCTCCTCCTCAGCCCCAGGTTTACACATAACAAAGGTATGTCTCTGCAGAGGGAGCTTGGTACATACTAGCTACAGTATACCAATCAGCTAGAGAGAACCTGATACTGGTAAATACTAGCTACAGTACACCACTCAGCTAGAGAGAACCTAACACTTGTAAATACTAGCTACAGTACACACTCAGCTAGAGAGAACCTAATAATCGTAAATATTAGCTGCAGTATACCACTCAGCTAGAGAGAACCTAACACTTGTAAATACTAGCTACAGTATACCACTCAGCTAGAGAGAACCTAACACTTGTAAATACTAGCTACAGTACATCAGTCAGCTAGAGAGAACCTAACACTTGTAAATACTAGCTACAGTACACACTCAGCTAGAGAGAATATAACACTTGTAAATACTAGCTACAGTACACACTCAGCTAGAGAGAACCTAACACTAGTAAATACTAGCTACAGTACACACTCAGCTAGAGAGAACCTAACACTTGTAAATACTAGCTACAGTATACCACTCAGCTAGAGAGAACCTAACACTTGTAAATACTAGCTACAGTATACCACACAGCTAGAGAGAACCTAACACTTGTTAATACTAGCTACAGTACACCACTCAGCTAGAGAGAACCTAACACTTTTAAATACTAGCTACAGTACATCAGTCAGCTAGAGAGAACCTAACACTTGATAATACTAGCTACAGTATACCACTCAGCTAGAGAGAACCTAACACTTGTAAATACTAGCTACAGTATACCACTCAGCTAGAGAGAACCTAACACTTGTAAATACTAGCTACAGTATACCACTCAGCTAGAGAGAACCTAACACTTGTAAATACTAGCTACAGTACATCAGTCAGCTAGAGAGAACCTAACACTTGTAAATACTAGCTACATTACACACTCAGCTAGAGAGAACCTAACACTTGTAAATACTAGCTACAGTATACCACTCAGCTAGAGAGAACCTAACACTTGTAAATACTAGCTACAGTATACCACTCAGCTAGAGAGAACCTAACACTTGTAAATACTAGCTACAGTACACACTCAGCTAGAGAGAACCTAACACTTGTAAATACTAGCTACAGTATACCACTCAGCTAGAGAGAACCTAACACTTGTAAATACTAGCTACAGTATACCACTCAGCTAGAGAGAACCTAACACTTGTAAATACTAGCTACAGTACACACTCAGCTAGAGAGAACCTAACACTTGTAAATACTAGCTACAGTATACCACTCAGCTAGAGAGAACCTAACACTTGTAAATACTAGCTACAGTATACCACTCAGCTAGAGAGAACCTAACACTTGTAAATACTAGCTACAGTATACCACTCAGCTAGAGAGAACCTAACACTTGTAAATACTAGCTACAGTATACCACTCAGCTAGAGAGAACCTAACACTTGTAAATACTAGCTACAGTACACCACTCAGCTAGAGAGAACCTAACACTTGTAAATACTAGCTACAGTATACCACTCAGCTAGAGAGAACCTAACACTTGTAAATACTAGCTACAGTATACCACTCAGCTAGAGAGAACCTAACACTTGTAAATACTAGCTACAGTACACCACTCAGCTAGAGAGAACCTAATAATCGTAAATACTAGCTATAGTATACCACTCAGCTAGAGAGAACCTAACACTTGTTAATACTAGCTACAGTATACCACTCAGCTAGAGAGAACCTAACACTTGTAAATACTAGCTACAGTACACACTCAGCTAGAGAGAACCTAACACTTGTAAATACTAGCTACAGTACACACTCAGCTAGAGAGAACCTAACACTTGTAAATACTAGCTACATTACACACTCAGCTAGAGAGAACCTAACACTTGTAAATACTAGCTACAGTACACACTCAGCTAGAGAGAATGTAACACTTGTAAATAGTAGCGACAGTATACCACTCAGCTAGAGAGAACCTAACACTTGTTAATACTAGCTACAGTATACCACTCAGCTAGAGAGAACCTAACACTTGTAAATACTAGCTACAGTATACCACTCAGCTAGAGAGAACCTAACACTTGTTAATACTAGCTACAGTATACCACTCAGCTAGAGAGAACCTAACACTTGTTAATACTAGCTACAGTACATCGGTCAGCTAGAGAGAACCTAACACTTGTAAATACTAGCTACAGTACACACTCAGCTAGAGAGAATATAACACTTGTAAATACTAGCTACAGTATACCACTCAGCTAGAGAGAACCTAACACTTGTTAATACTACCTACAGTATACCACTCAGCTAGAGAGAACCTAACACTTGTAAATACTAGCTACAGTATACCACTCAGCTAGAGAGAACCTAACACTTGTAAATACTAGCTACAGTACATCGGTCAGCTAGAGAGAACCTAAAACTTGTAAGTACTAGCTACAGTACACCACTCAGCTAGAGAGAACCTAACACTTGTAAATACTAGCTACAGTACACACTCAGCTAGAGAGAACCTAACACTTGTTAATACTAGCTACAGTATACCACTCAGCTAGAGAGAACCTAACACTTGTAAATACTAGCTACAGTATACCACTCAGCTAGAGAGAACCTAACACTTGTAAATACTAGCAACAGTGCATCAGTTAGCTAGAGAGAACCTAACACTTGTAAATACTAGCTACAGTATACCACTCAGCTAGAGAGAACCTAACACTTGTAAATACTAGCTACAGTATACCACTCAGCTAGAGAGAACCTAACACTTGTAAATACTAGCTACATTACACACTCAGCTAGAGAGAACCTAACACTTGTAAATACTAGCTACAGTATACCACTCAGCTAGAGAGAACCTAAAACTTGTAAGTACTAGCTACAGTACACCACTCAGCTAGAGAGAACCTAACACTTGTAAATACTAGCAACAGTATACCACTCAGCTAGAGAGAACCTAACACTTGTAAATACTAGCTACATTACACACTCAGCTAGAGAGAACCTAACACTTGTAAATACTAGCTACAGTACACCACTCAGCTAGAGAGAACCTAACACTTGTAAATACTAGCTACAGTATACCACTCAGGTAGAGAGAACCTAACACTTGTAAATGCGCATGCGTCGATTACTAAGGCGGTGGTTTAAATTCGCTCCAAGAAAATCAATTTGTGTAGTGTAGAAAATGAAACAGATGTCACGAAAACAAAGTGTAATGGACCTAAACGATACGACACCAAATATATTCCTGAAAATTTCATGAATGATGATGATGCAATGAGGAAAATTTTAACGGCAATTGACGAAATAGAGCATGATTTAGAGGTTTCCTCCGATGTTAACCAAGCGTACAGCGACTTTACCAAGTTAATAGAAAGCGAAATGGAGGCTAAGTTACCAACACTAAAGGTTAGAGATAGTATGGGGAGAATAAACTCTACTCTGCGACGGAAACCTTATTGGACGGAAGAGTTACAGAACTTAGTTCACGAGCGTAATGAAAGTGAGAGAAAATGGCTTAAGTGTAAGGGTCATGCAAATTTAAAGCGATTACTAAAAATTCAATATATAAATGACCGTAAACTTTTTAATAAAACACTTAGACAAGAAAAGCACCGATACCAAAAACTTAAACAAGATGAATTGCTCGACATGTGTAATAATTCCCCTACCGATTTCTGGAAGAAAATAGGTCAGCTTGGTATGCAAAGAGAGAGATCATATACTATACCAAATACAATGAGAGATGCAAGTGGTAACATTACGAAAAACTGTGATGAATCTTTCAAAGTTTGGTACGATTCTTTCCAGAATCTTCAAGGCGCTGACATGTCAGACGCTACAGTTGTAACAGAAGACATAGAAAGTATATTGGGGCCTAAGCTCGACACCGACAGTACTATATTGAACCTACCTATAACCCGTCAAGAAGTTGAAGATTCTGTTTATCGCGCTAAGTTAAATAAAGCGGCCGGTATCGACAATATTCAGAGCAATGTCCTCAGAAACCCAGTTTGTGTTGATCTTTTATATACAATTATTGTTCATTGTTTTAATAATGGCATAGTACCAGACAAATGGACACAGAGTATTATTAACCCCATTTTAAAAGCAGGAAAGGATCCATTGAATCCTCAAAGCTACAGAGGAATCGCACTTATATCTATCCCATGTAAAATTTACGCCAATGTTTTAAATAATCGGTTGTCAAAATGGTTAGAAACGAATGAATTACTTGTAGATGAACAAAACGGTTTTAGAAAGAATAGAAGTTGTTTAGATCACCAGTATTTATTGTACTCTATCATAAATAACCGAAAAATCCAGAAAAAATCTACTTTTGTATGTTTTGTTCTTCATAAAGATTGTGTAAACAGAGATCTTTTGTGGGCTAAGCTAGAACATTATGGTTTAAATGGATATTTCTTGGATGTTATTAAATCTTTATATTTTAATTATGAATGTAGAATTAGAATAAACCGTGTTCTTACTCAACCTGTAACTATGAAGCAAGGTTTAAAACAAGGCTGTAACGCATCACCGACACTTTTTTCCATGTACATAAATGACTTAGCTAAAGACATTAATGATTTAAAATGTGGAGTAGATATAGAATCATGTGTCATCTCCATTCTTCTCTATGCTGATGATATTGCTCTCATTGGACCCGACGAAAAGTCAATGAAAAAGATGTTGAATGTATTAAATATGTGGTGTAAAAAGTGGAAAATCGAAATAAATCAAGATAAAACTAATGTAGTACACTTTAGAAATAATTCCATGCCTGTTACTGATCACACGTTTTCATGTGGTGATATAGTTATCGCCTTAAATACTAAGTACAAGTACTTGGGGCTATGGTTTGAGGAGCACATGGATTTGCATTTCACTGTAAAAGAACTCTGTAAATCTGCGAGCAGAGCACTAACATCGTTGTATGTAAAATATTCTCATGCCGGTGAAATGACATATGATGTGTTTAACAAGTTATATCAAACTTTAGTTCAACCGGTTCTTTTTTATGGCTGTGGAATATGGGGTATAAATAAATACCGTGAGGTGTCCACTGTACTCCACAAAGCGTGTAGATACTTTTTAGGCGCCTCCCGTCGATCAAGTAACTTAGCCCTCCGAGGTGATATGGGATGGCATTCTTGTAATGTTAATCAGGTTTTAGAAACGGTACGCCTGTTTTTAAGAATAAAGTGTTGTAACGACAGCCGTCTTATGGAAAAAGTACACCTATGGTCTGTAAGGTTGAAAAAATCCTGGGATTCTAGAGTTATTACAGTCATAGAAGAGAAAAAATTAAGTGAAATTGTAAACTCGACATTTTCTATTAGAAACAAGATAAGAAATATTAAAGAAAAGTTAATTACTATAGATACAGAGGAATGGTACAACAGCTTGTGGAATGATAGTAATAGTGTAAACGGTAACAAGTTGAGAACATACAGAACCTTTAAATCTGAGTTAGCGCCAGATTCTTATGTCAAACTCGTGACACAAAAAAGTAAACGGAGGGTAATTTTTAATTTAAGATGTGGTTCTCTACCTCTTGCAGTCGAAACCGGCAGATTTACCAAACCTGAGATTCCATTGGAGAACCGTGTTTGCAAAATATGTACAAATGTAAATAATTCGATAGAGGATGAGATACACTTTTTAATTGAATGTAATGTATATAATGATATTAGATCATCCTTATTTAGAGCAGGAATCAAAATAAGAAATGATTTTTTAAGCCTTAACGATTTAGAAAAAATTGATTTTATAATGTCTTGCAGGGAATTACAAATTCCACTAGCTAATAATTTATACAATATGTTCCGGAGACGTAGCACTTTAAGTGAGTAATCAATGTTTTAACAGTGTCTTGTAAGCCATTTCTGGCTGAATATCACGTATGATTACATTTTTAGAATATATGCTTTAATTGATTCGTTGGGTAAATCAGAAACTTTTTTATATCGATTGATTATCTATTATTAATTATAATTAATTATTGTAGGTAGCGTGGGTTTGGCAAACCTCGATGGTAGGGTTCTCCCCAACCCTTGGAATGCCAAATTTCACTACTGATGAATGTATCATAAATAATTTTTGCCATGTGTATTGTTTTATTATTTCATATATAACATGTAGCTACAGTATGGATGAGACCTACTTTAGTATTACAATATATATTATAATTTATATATTTCGTATATAATCCAGAGAGCTTGTTAGGTAGGGGCTGTCCCAATCACCTGTTCTCTGGATTACGATCTGTGATAAGTAAGTTTTAATTCATGATATTGGATTTACCTGGTTTAGTTTAATATGATTGATCCCAACGGTCTCACTATGGTTTTATATTGTGTACTTTACATATGATGTAATTGTGATATATGACACTTTAATAAACAAATTTGTATTGTATTGTATTGTATTGTATTATTGTAAATACTAGCTACAGTACACCAGTCAGCTAGAGATAACCTAATACTTTTAAAAAATAGGTACAGTATACCAGCGCAGTACATTTATTTACATGGTTGACATTTACAGGTGATGTGATAAGAGAAGTTGATCAAATTGATGTGGCTCCGACTCTGTCTATGCTACTTAGTCTTCCAATACCAAAGAATAATCTGGGTGTGGTTATTGATGATGCTCTAGTGGGGTGCTCTACAGAGGAAAAGATGATGATGCTGTGGAGGAATGGTTTACAGGTTACTAGAGTGTTAGAGTACAACAGCAAGGACTGGAAAATGGGTTTGTACTGCTATTTCTTTGTCTTGTGAATTAAATGGAATGAAAATACATGAGATATAAAGATCATTTGGAAAAAAATTGACCTAATTCAAATCTGAAATATACATGTAGGCACAATACTGAAAATTAAATGCAGAATTTATTCACTCCCATATCCCAGATATCCTGCTCCACGCAACAAAGATGGTGTATGTTATGCAGATTCATTTAACTTTAGTTTAGTTTAGTTTAGTTTATTACCAATGCAGGATAGTTACGATCCTCTTTACAGGTCTCAGTGATACAATGATAATGTTTATAATTATTGTCATTTGAGACGTCAGATCCAGGAACTACATAATTTCTGATTGTAATTATATACCAGTTCTTGATTTGTCCAGAGTTCATCTAATCTATTTTTGAAAGAGTTAAACTGTTGGTGCCGATACAATATACTCCGGAAGATTGTTCCATATTTTGACCACACGCAAAGAAAAAGAATGTTTCCTGATGTCAAGTTTACAGTGCTAAATGTAAAGTTTTTTGGAGTGACCCCTTTTCCGCTGAAGTTGAACTTTGTCGATCCACAATTTAAGGAAACCAGCAGCGTTACTATCACAAAAACTGTTAGTAATTTTGAAGACTTCAATCATATCCTCACGAATTCTCCTGAATGCAAATGTTGGTAATTTTAGACGTTTCAGTCTTTCCGAATAAGTCAGTTCCTTAAATCCTGATAATTAAGTAATAATGTGTTCTATTAAAGATTTTATGTTTTGTACTGAAATTGTTTTGATTCAGATGAAGGCTATCTGGAGTTTCAAAGACTGTCCAAGGTTCATCATGATTGGTTGTTGTCAAAGACAAGTGGAGTACCACAATCTATTTGGCTGTCTGAGGGAGACAGGATTGGGAGACAGTACACACAGGCGATGAAAACCATGACAAGGAATATCTCTTCATCCCTCACCCAGTATGACATTTACAGCCTTGTAATCTCCGTGGTAACACTGTGGCTGGTAGGTACACATAATATCACATTTACAGCCTTATCGGAACCATGGTAACAGTGGCCGCAATGTACACATAATATCACATTTACAGCCTTAGCGTAACCGTGGTAACACTGGCCACTAGGTACACACTGTACATTTACAGCCTTGTAGTTACTGTGGTAACACTGGCCGCTAGGTATACACAGTACATTAACAGTCTTGTAGTCACCGTGGTAACACTGGCTGTAAGGTACACACAGTACATTTACAGCCTTGTAGTCTATGTGGTAACACTGGCCGCTAGGTACAAGTCACTGCGGTAACATCGGCCACAAGGTACACACAATACATTACAGCCTTGGTAACACTGGCCACCAGGTACAAGTCATAGTGGTAACACTGGCCGCCAGGTACACACAGTACATTTACAGCCTTGGTAACACTGGCCGCCAGGTACAAATCATAGTGGTAACACTGGCCGCCAGGTACAAGTCATAGTGGTAACACTGGCCGCAAGGTAGAAGTCATAGTGGTAACACTGGTCGCCAGGTACAAGTCATAGTGTTAACACTGGCCGCCAGGTACACACAGTACATTTACAGCCTTGGTAACACTGGCCGCCAGGTACAAATCATAGTGGTAACACTGGCCGCCAGGTACAAGTCATAGTGGTAACACTGGCCGCAAGGTAGAAGTCATAGTGGTAACACTGGCTGCAAGGTACACACAGTACATTTACAGCCTTGGTAACACTGGCCGCTAGGTACAAGTCATATAATGGTAACACTGGCCGCTAGGTACATACAGTACATTTACAGCCTTGGTAACACTGGCTGCCAGGTACAAATCATAGTGGTAACACTGGCCGCCAGGTACAAGTCATAGTGGTAACACTGGCCGCTAGGTACACACAGTACATTTACAGCCTTGGTAACACTGGCCGCCAGGTACAAGTCATAGTGGTAACACTGGCCGCCAGGTACACACAGTACATTAACAGCCTTGGTAACACTGGCCGCCAGGTACAAGTCCTAGTGGTAACACTGGCCACCAGGTACACACAGTACATTTACAGCCTTGGTAACACTGGCCGCCAGGTACACACAGTAATTAACAGTCTTGTAGTCACGCGGTAACACTAGCCGCTAGGTACACACAGTACATTAACAGCCTTGTAGTCACCGCGGTAACATTGGCCGCTAGGTATACACAGTACATTTACAGCCTTGTAGTCACGCAGTAACACTGGCTGCTAGGTACACACAGTACATTAACAGCCTTGGTATCACTGGCCGCCAGGTACAAGTCATAGTGGTTACACTGGCCGCCAGGTACAAGTCATAGTGGTAACACTGGCCGCCAGGTACAAGTCATAGTGGTAACCCTGGCCGCCAGGTACAAGTCATAGTGGTAACACTGGCCGCCAGGTACAAGTCATAGTGGTAACACTGGCCGCCAGGTAAAAGTCATAGTGGAAACACTGGCCGCAAGGTAGAAGTCATAGTGGTAACACTGGCCGTCAGGTACACACTGTACATTTACAGCCTTGGTAACGCTGGTCGCCAGGTACAAGTCATAATGGTAACACTGGCCGCCAGGTACACACAGTACATTTACAGCCTTGGTAACACTAGCCGCCAGGTACACACAATACATTTACAGCATTGGTAACACTGGCCGCCAGGTACAAGTCACCGCGGTAACACTGGCCGCCAGGTACACACAGTACATTTACAGCCTTGGTAACACTGGCCGCCAGGTACAAGTCACCGCGGTAACACTGGCTGCTAGGTACATACAGTACATTTACAGCCTTGGTAACACTGGCCGCCAGGTACCAATCATAGTGGTAACACTGGCCGCCAGGTACAAGTCATAGTGGTAACACTGGCCGCAAGGTAGAAGTCATAGTGGTAACACTGGCCGCAAGGTACAAGTCATAATGGTAACACTGGCTGCTAGGTACATACAGTACATTTACAGCCTTGGTAACACTGGCCGCCAGGTACAAGTCATAGTGGTAACACTGGCCGCCAGGTACAAGTCATAGTGGTAACACTGGCTGCCAGGTACACACAGTACATTTACAGCATTGTAGTCAATGTGGTAACACTGGCCGCCAGGTACAAGTCATAGTGGTAACACTGGCCGCCAGGTACAAGTCATAATGGTAACACTGGCCGCTAGGTACACACAGTACATTTACAGCCTTGGTAACACTGGCCGCCAGGTACACACAGTACATTAACAACCTTGTAGTCACCGCGGTAACATTGGCCGCTAGGTATACACAGTACATTTACAGCCTTGTAGTCACGCGGTAACACTGGCTGCTAGGTACACACAGTACATTAACAGCGTTGGTAACACTGGCTGCCAGGTACACACAGTACATTTACATCCTTGGTAACACTGGCCACCAGGTACAAGTCATAGTGGTAACACTGGCCGCCAGGTACAAGTCATAATGGTAACACTGGCCGCCAGGTACACACAGTACATTTACAGCCTTGGTAACACTGGCCGCCAGGTACAAGTCATAGTGGTAACACTGGCCGCCAGGTACAAGTCATAGTGGTAACACTGGCCGCAAGGTAGAAGTCATAGTGTTAACACTGGCTGCAAGGTACACACAGTACATTTACAGCCTTGGTAACACTGGCCGCTAGGTACAAGTCATAGTGGTAACACTGGCCGCAAGGTAGAAGTCATGGTGGTAACACTGGCCGCAAGGTACACACAGTACATTTACAGCCTTGGTAACACTGGCCGCTAGGTACAAGTCATAATGGTAACACTGGCCGCTAGGTACATACAGTACATTTACAGCCTTGGTAACACTGGCTGCCAGGTACAAATCATAGTGGTAACACTGGCCGCCAGGTACAAGTCATAGTGGTAACACTGGCCGCAAGGTAGAAGTCATAGTGGTAACACTGGCTGCAAGGTACACACAGTACATTTACAGCCTTGGTAACACTGGCCGCTAGGTACAAGTCATATAATGGTAACACTGGCCGCTAGGTACATACAGTACATTTACAGCCTTGGTAACACTGGCTGCCAGGTACAAATCATAGTGGTAACACAGGCCGCCAGGTACAAGTTATAGTGGTAACACTGGCCGCTAGGTACACACAGTACATTTACAGCCTTGGTAACACTGGCCGCCAGGTACAAGTCACTGCGGTAACACCGGCCACAAGGTACACACAATACATTTACAGCCTTGGTAACACTGGCCACCAGGTACAAGTCATAGTGGTAACACTGGCCGCCAGGTACACACAGTACATTTACAGCCTTGCTAACAATGGCCACCGGGTACAAGTCCTAGTGGTAACACTGGCCGCAAGGTACACACAGTACATTTACAGCCTTGGTAACACTGGCTGCCAGGTACAAATCATAGTGGTAACAATGGCCGCCAGGTACAAATCATAGTGGTAACACTGGCCGCCAGGTACAAGTCATAGTGGTAACACTGGCCGCTAGGTACACACAGTACATTTACAGCCTTGGTAACACTGGCCGCCAGGTACAAGTCATAGTGGTAACACTGGCCGCCAGGTACACACAGTACATTAACAGCCTTGGTAACACTGGCCGCCAGGTACACACAGTACATTAACAACCTTGTAGTCACCACGGTAACATTGGCTGCTAGGTATACACAGTACATTTACAGCCTTGTAGTCACGCAGTAACACTGGCTGCTAGGTACACACAGTACATTAACAGCCTTGGTAACACTGGCCGCCAGGTACACACAGTACATTTACAGCATTGTAGTCAATGTGGTAACACTGGCCGCCAGGTACAAGTCATAGTGTTAACACTGGCCGCCAGGTACAAGTCATAATGGTAACACTGGCCGCCAGGTACACACAGTACATTTACAGCCTTGTAGTCAATGTTGTAACACTGGCCGCCAGGTACACACAGTACATTTACAGTCTTGGTAACACTGGCATAGTAACTACCCACAGTACAACATTTACAGTCTTACAGTTGGCATGGTAACACTGTGGCTAGTAACTACCCACAGTACAACATTTACAGTCTTACAGTTGGCATGGTAACACTGTGGCTGGTAACTACCCACAATACAATATTTACTGTCTTACAGTTGCCATGGTAACACTGGCATAGTAACTACCCACAGTACAACATTTACAGTCTTACAGTTGGCATGGTAACACTGTGGCTGGTAACTACCCACAGTACAACATTTACCGTCTTACAGTTGCCATAGTAACACTGTGGCTGGTAACTACCCACAGTACAACATTTACAGTCTTACAGTTGACATATTTAAAAGTTAACCTTTGACTGCCTGGTTTAACCTATATAGTCTTAAATCAACCAATGACACATATCTGCATGAAAGTGAGGGCATTCATAGTTTACAAATATTGTTAAGCTTTAAATCTAATCTCTAAACGTTTTCCTGACAGATTCTGGTCACGATTGCTGTAGAGCTCTGCCTGTCCTCAGCCTCCTATGGTGAAATCTATTCAAGGACTGTTGTCTTATACATCCCCGTTACCTTGATGATATTTTTTGGACACATGATGGTGTGTACCACCTCTCCGTCAAGTCAGCTGTGTCATACTGATGGTACTGGTGTACTGCTACAGGTCTTTATTCTGGCTGTTGTGTGTTGGTCAGTAAAAGATTTGGTTGTCAAATTCCTACAGTTTTGGTCTGTCAGAAAATCAAAGGTAAATGCTTGTTTCATTTACAGAAACAATGACTGTAAGATAATATATGTTTCACATCATCCACTTAAACCACTTGTCTTAATTATCATTTTATTAAAAGGCAGAAGATTTGTCAATTCAAGTATCCATCCATGTATTTATTGAGAATGATAGCTTTTGATTTAAGATAATCTCCATTTATGATTGGTTGTTTAGGAGGCACACCTGCCACAGGTATAATTTATCAGTGGTGTTGACGTTGCTAGTTGTTCTTAAATGAAGATTGATAAATTAATAAACCAAGCAGACTTTTGTGGAGAGTATGCTTTACCAGAAATTTGATGAGTAGATATTTTGATGACTTATTTCCTATGAAGATCAGAATAAACCATGTGTGGTAAGACAAAACAAAATGTATGTACCTCTCTTTCGTTCTTTTTGATACATTATCATAATATTTTTACTCTGTAAAATTGTAATCTATATTCAGTTAGACATGTGGAGTGTAAATTCTCAAAAGGAATGGTAAATGGAATGTGCAGATTGGAATTGGATCAGATCAAACTCACCTGACCAGCCAAATATTCATGTCCCAGGCATGGTGCTTTTGGAGAAGTTCCATTGTATTTAATGTCATTATTGTAAAACATTGCGTGCAATTCTTTTTTAACTTGTTTTCACAAAAACTGGAAATTGCTGAATTATTTCAACCAAGATCATTATAGAAGATGTCTCTGTTTTATTGTTGATATTTCAGAGATGTAAGTTTTCCCTTACTTCCCTTACAGGAAGGGTCATGTGATCCCTGGGGTGTGTTCAGTCCTCTGGGAGTTGTCCTGACCCTAGGGACAATAATCCACACCTTGAGTCTGCTGTCCAGTAGCTACGTAGAGGAAGAACATCAGACATGGTATTTTTACACTGTAACAATTCATCTGCTAATCCTGGTTTTAATTCTTTGCTCACACACATCCCAGGGTTACTTCAGACAGGTATGCAAATCTGCATGTAACCCTAAACAGACCTACAACACATACGGCACGGATTACAGAGAATCAGGACAGATTGAAAAACAAATGGAGCTTGAAAAGGAAGAAAAACATTCCAACCAGGTGACGGGTTTCCCTGGTCATCCACTGATGGCCACTATATTTGTTTTATTCCTATGTAGGGTGTTGAGGACATGGAATCAGACAGGAAATAAATGGCTGGATAGACCAGATGTTGGAGACTGGCTTCTCAGGTGGGTAGACATTTTGTGTAACAGTAAAGACACACGTGTCAGGTGGGTAGACATTTCTTGTAACAGTAGGTACTGACTTGTCAGGTGGGAAGACATTTCTTGTATCAGTAGGGTACTGACTTGTCAGGTGGGTAGACATTCCTTGTAACAGTAGAGGACAGACTTGTCAGGTGGGTAGACATTCCTTGTAACAGTAGGGACTGACTTGTCAGGTGGGTAGACATTTCTTGTAACAGTAGGGACTGACTTGTCAGGTGGGAAGACATTCCTTGTAACAGCAGGGACTAACTTGTCAGGTGGGTAGACATTCCTTGTAACAGAAGGGACTGACTTGTCAGGTTTGTAGACATTCCTTGTAACAGTAGGGACTGAGTAGTTAGGTGGGTAGACATTCCTTGTAACAGTAGGGACTGACTTGTCAGGTGGGTAGACATTTTATGTAACAGTAGGGACTGACTTGTAAGGTGGCTAGACATTTTATGTAACAGTAGGGACTGACTTGTCAGGTGGGTAGACATTTCTTGTAACAGTAGGGACTGAGTAGTTAGGTGGGTAGACATTTTGTGTAACAATAAAGACACTTGTCAGGTGGGTAGACATTTCTTGTAACAGAAGGGACTGACTTGTCAGGTGGGTTGACATTCCTTGTAACAGTAGGGACTGACTTGTCAGTAGAGTAGACATTTCTTGTAACAGTAGGGACTGACTTGTCAGTAGAGTAGACATTTCTTGTAACAGTAGGGACTGAGTAATTAGGTGGGTAGACATTTTGTGTAACAATAAAGACACTTGTCAGGTGGGTAGACATTCCTTGTACCAGTAGGGGACTGAATTTTCAGGTGGGTAGACATTTTGTGTAACAGTAGGGACTGACTTGTCAGGTGGGTAGACATTCCTTGTAACAGTAGGGACTGACTTGTCAGGTGGGTAGACATTCCTTGTAACATTAGGGACTGACTTGTCAGGTGGGAAGACATTCCTTGTAACAGCAGGGACTAACTTGTCAGGTGGGTAGACATTCCTTGTAACAGAAGGGACTGACTTGTCAGGTGGGTAGACATTCCTTGTAACAGTAGGGACTGAGTAGTTAGGTGGGTAGACATTCCTTGTAACAGTAGGGACTGACTTGTCAGGTGGGTAGACATTTTATGTAACAGTAGGGACTGACTTGTCAGGTGGGTAGACATTTTATGTAACAGTAGGGACTGACTTGTCAGGTGGGTAGACATTTCTTGTAACAGTAGGGACTGAGTAGTTAGGTGGGTAGACATTTTGTGTAACAATAAAGACACTTGTCAGGTGGGTAGACATTTCTTGTAACAGAAGGGACTGACTTGTCAGGTGGGTTGACATTCCTTGTAACAGTAGGGACTGACTTGTCAGGTGGGTAGACATTCCTTGTAACAGTAGGGACTGACTTGCCAGGTGGGTAGACATTCCTTGTAACATTAGGGACTGACTTGTCAGGTGGGTAGACATTCCTTGTAACAGCAGGGACTAACTTGTCAGGTGGGAAGACATTCCTTTTAACAGTAGGGACTGACTTGTCAGGTGGGTAGACATTCCTTGTAACAGCAGGGACTAACTTGTCAGGTGGGTAGACATTCCTTGTAACAGCAGGGACTAACTTGTCAGGTGGGTAGACATTCCTTGTAACAGCAGGGACTAACTTGTCAGGTGGGTAGACATTCCTTTTAACAGTAGGGACTGACTTGTCAGGTGGGTAGACATTCCTTTTAACAGTAGGGACTGACTTGTCAGGTGGGTAGACATTTTGTGTAACAGTAAGGACTAACTTGTCAGGTGGGTAGACATTCCTTTTAACACTAGGGACTGATGACTTTGACCAAATCGTTTATGAATTGAGACCTTGTTCTTATACAAGAAATACTGGGGGATCTTGGCACCCACCAGTGGTTGATCTTTCCTCATTTTTTGCACATGATTATAAGAAGTTCTCTCAAGAAATAGTGATTCTAATCTTTAACTGTCAAATCCAAGATTATTGCTTGTCAGTCATTTTGTTTTTCTGGTCAGTAACAAAAGGACACGACTGAGGATTGTGGGAAATATTATGAAACTAGAGAAAGATCTATACAGTATTCCTTTAGAATCAGCAATAACAAGCTTTCATGGATAAAATCCAGGATGGCTGCCTTTAAGTCATGTTGCTTTTCTAGTCCCAAAATCTTAAGAGCACAACTCCCTACAGACCAAGGAAACCTACATATGATAATTGAGATAATTCTATTTAGTATTTCAATATCATTAAAAAAGATTTCATTGTCAAGATTGAAAATGGCCATCTGCCAACTATTTTGTTTTCTGATCAGTCCAAAAATCAAAAAGGCACAAATATGGTCTATATTCTTCACAAGATGATTCTGACCTTACATGAACAAAGTGTAGGATGTAACCTTCACCTTGATGAACAAAGTATAGGATGTAACCTTCACCTTGATGAACAATGTGTAGGATGTAACCGTCACCTTGATGAACAATGTGTAGGATGTAACCTTGACCTTGATGAACAATGTTTAGGATGTAACCCTGACCTTAATGAACAAAGTGTAGATATAACCTTGACCTTGATGAACAGTGTATGGATTTTGCTTTTTACTATTCATGAATGATAACAGAACATAGGAATATACTATTCTTAACAGGCAGTGCATCCTCAGGTAAACATTTGAGATATCTCTTGTCAAGCTAGACCACAGATTAAACACCTACAATACACTGTACCCTTACCTAGCACACTTCACTGAAACAAGCAAGTATTGCTGTGACAATATAATATAACTAGAATCATGTGGTTCAGAAATTGTTATTAGAGTTCAAATATATATATCGATGATTGTATTTCAATAAAATAACTTCATATAGGAATCATACGACAATGAACTTTGAAAAAATACTTCTCTTTCTTGTAAAACTACAAAGTTTGGAGTCATGTTTAACAGGATAACTGGTTACCAATTTTATCAGATACTGTAAATGTACTTATTTTGTGGTACAATTTTATCTAGTACCCAATTCTCCTAACAGTCTTTGTTTAATTTAGACCAATCATCATTGAGATCCCTTGTTACTCCTTTCCTACTTCCTTGGTAACATTATGATGTCATCATATTGTGACCAATCATCATGGGGATCCCTTGTTACTCCTTTACTTCTTCCTTGGTAACATTATGATGTCATCATATTGTGACCAATCATCATGGGGATGCCTTGTTTATTCAGTTTTAAAATATAACATTCACACCATAATTGTGACCTAGTAATGGCCTACCTAGTAGGCATGTCGACAGTCACATATTTTCCAAACCTGGCCTAAGGAGTTGATGTACTTTCTTTTATCTTGATTTTATCTTAGGGCAATCAAATTTCATTGCAAACACAAAAAACAATAAATTGTGATTTATTAGTCTCTCATCCTTTGGTTTTTGTATGGTTCTTGTACTTGTGTTTAACTGTTCATAACCTTTCATCAATAGAATAGTCTAGTACTGGTAGTGGTGGCTGTATTATGGTTATAACTTGTTATACAAACATACCAGATTTAGATTATAGATTTAGCTCTGTACATGAATAAGCACTGCAAAAATAGCATGGAATGTGCTAAAGTTAAACTGCTCCTTTACAGTAAATGTCACCCATTCAGTGTCATGAGGGTCAGATGTGGCAAACATCTGAAGGACAGGTTGTTTAAAGGGGACTATATTGCTTTCAACAACTTTCAAGTAAATCATGATCTCCTATCATGTCCATGTCTTTTTACCCATCATATCTATGATAGATATTTTCAGACTTACTTTTTCCCAAAATTCAGTCAAAGTTATTTCCCCAGACAACAATTTTGTACATGTATTACAGATACCGCTTTGCTTGATTAAGTCTCAGACACACTTGTAAAATTTGTCAAGTTTGCCATTAAAAGGTATTCTATGCTGCAATGTCTCTGTCATTGATGCTTTGTGACTATTATCTTTATACTTTTTTCTTCTTCTTTAGAACAAGTGAACCTATCACCATGACATTTGATCTTGTAGGATTAAGCCAGGATGAAGTACATGCATGTAAATGTCAAGTTTAAGATATTTTTTGTGTATATTCATCAATACAGATTTATATACAATAACACAATGAATTAGTATTTAAATCCTTCATTGTCAAGTTTTTATGACAAGATAAGATCACTGATATTAGATACAGTTCTGAATTTTTCTGTCATATCTTCAGCACTTGATAGGTTTTGCCAACATTAAATGATTTTATGGGTGGTCAGGTGGCACAAAGGTAACACACTCGCCTTTCACCTAGCCGCCCGGGGTTCGATTCCCTGAACGGAGGTGAAAAGGAAGGGGTCACCTGCCCAACTGCATGGGTTTTCCCTGGGTACTCAGGTTTCTTGCCACAATAAGACCCCTTGTGTGCCTACATCTGAACAAACAAGAGTGATTAGTATAAGTTGAAATAACTTGTTTCACAATTGTTTTAAAATAAATAAAGTTCATATTAAATGAGTTATGAAGAATTCAGACCTCATGGACATTTGTTTTGAATGTTTTACTTTATATTCCAGACCAGAGAACAAGAGCATCCTGTCTGTGCTGGTGGGTGGTTCCTTGACTTTGGTTGCCATGGTGAAGTGGGCAGGGCAGACATATATACAGAGGAGTGTGTTTGTGGTAGGGTTGTGCTGTATTTACTGGTACAGAGTTAGTACAGCAGCAATCGATAACCCTTTCCAGCTACTCCCGACTTACAAGTGAGTTATAGTAAGATATACTTTGATGTCGTTGATCAACAACAAAATAATCTTATTCCTTTTATGAATCTTGAATGATAAAACAGGAGATTTTTTTCATTTAATACATTAGTTTCTATGCATACCAAAAAGTATCTGTTTCCCATCTACAAAACTTTCTTTAAAGAACAATAAATCTTCCCTAGACCTATCTGGATTTTTATGCCCCACCATTGAAAATTGGGGGTATATATTGTTACCAATGTCTGTTCCGTCTGTTTGTCCGACTGTCCAGATTTGGTTTCTGCACCATAAATTTAGAATGCCTCATTAGAATTAAATAATATTTGCATGTATGTTGAAATATTTAAAAATCTAAGTTGTGTTTGATTTTCACTAATTTTCATCAATTTCTGCTCTTTCTTGACTTAGAAACAGTGAAAAACTTGTTTTCTTGAGGCATGCACCTTTTTCGTGTTTTCAAGTATCATAGAAAAATGCAGGTCATGTTTATATAATAGAGTTATGCCCCTTGGACTTGGAAAATTTCAAACAGTTCACATTTTCACTTTTGTCCTGACAGGGGCATTCATGCCGTACTAACACATCAGAAATAAGGAGTTATAAACACTGACATTGATATATTTCAGCGAGACAAGGGTGGCCCAGCTAGGTTTTCTCTTCACAGGGATGTGTATAGTACACCCTTGTGTCTTACTTCTACGAGGTTCACAAGATGAAGGAAAACCAAACACTGACGTAGCTGTTTCTTTCGGAGGATCATTCCAGTCTGCTTGTATCCTAGTCGTACTGTTACTCGGTAAACCCCACAATGTGGTAACGTTTGTAATGGTGGTTATTCAGGAACACTTAATACAACGTATGCTACTGCATCACATTGCATTGTCAACAACAGATGTCACACTGTATTACTTTTGGATGGGCATGGCAGCTTTCTTCTACCAGGTAAATTTGTGTATTTTTAGGTCGCTGTGTCTGAAGGACAGGTGATCTTATGCCATGCTTCAGCATCTTTTTTTTTTTTTTTTAGATCATCTGGCTCGAAGGGCCAGGTGAGCTTATGCTGTGGTGTGGTGTCTGGTGTCCGTCATTCTTCCATTATTCATTTGTTCGTCCATCGTCTGGCATCAGCTTTTTGCTTTAAACATCTTCTTCTCAATAACCAGTGGACCTGCTAGTATGTTTCTAGGATGAAGCCCAACAAAGTTTTCGAAAAGAAATGACCTTGAGCTATATTCAAGGTCACAGGGGTCAAATTTCTTAAAACTTTTATATGACTTCTTATGAACTAAAAGGCCGAAAGGCATGATATTTGGCCAGTATGTTCCTATAAGTCATTTCTTTCACCAATTTTGACTCCCAACTAAATTGGTGAAAACAAATGACCTTGACTTACATGCAACATCACAGGTGTCATATTTGTTAAAACAACTTCTCATGAACTTAAAGGCATGATATTTGGCCAGTATGTTCCTAGGATGCAGCCTGACAAAGTTTGCGAAAAGAAGTTACTTTGACTTATATTTCAGGTCAGAGGGGTCAGATTTGCTGGTACAGTTGAAACTTGTGGTCAATATTCAAGTTGAGTCAAAATACTTTTCAAGTTCTGATTTTTTTCCTTCTATATCTCTTTCTATATCTTTTTCGAAGCGATTTTTCAGTCCCTTCAATAGTAAAACAAGGGAAAAGTCATTCACTGTCTTGAAATTAATTTTTGTCAAAACAACGACACGTCTTCTTATGAAATTGGACAATACATACACAGAGCAGCAAGTCACCTGTGCATAACACATGGCTAATTACAGCATATCAGTTTACTGTTCACACAACACTTGGTCTGTGGCAATTATTTACCAATTTGATTATCCAATAGAATATTGGCTTTTTAATTAGTGTCACCATCCTGTAGCAGTGACTTACACGTACTTTCAAAAAGTAGCAAGTTTACATAAAACATGAAAACATTTAGCTTGGTTGCATGCATTTTCAGGAATGATAAAAACAAAACAGTCAAACCAGTACAACCTTTTTGATGAAATCTGATCCCCACAATTCTGAGAGAAACTAATTTTAAGCTTGATTGCTATTGGGCTGTTATCAGGCACTTTGTCAGATTTAATGTCTGGACAATGAGGTGCTGAAAGTATTTTTCATTGATAGACCTAGAGTGCATATCTGTGGCTGATTTGTTAACTCAAGTGCTTGTACAATGTTTTCTGTAACAGGTAAAACCTTTCTAGTGCTGCGTTTTACATATGTTTATTCATTCATAATGCAGTCATATCAGTATGGTCTGTAGCTTAATACAATGTTTCTTGTAGCAATCAAAAGCAAATTTTATTTTCATTTTGTTGTCATTCCATAAAATATATGATGTATATGTGCTTGTTCAGTAAGGGTATTGTACACGTGTGTGGGATGGAACAATGTGAGTACACATGCATTTGATTGGAGTTGTTATTACATAATTTGTTATTTGGATGAATAAACAATAAAAGGAGAAAGTAGGGTAAATTCATTTGATGATTTACTGCCATTTCAAATAACAGATTAAAGTTTGCATGCTTTCGTAGCCCTACTTCGTCCAACCGTAATCAACGTCAGGAAACTGATATTGTCAACCTTATTTATACACTTCTTTTGAGTCAAAATTCAGATAAGTCAAATTATTTTCCACAGTTCCTTGACTGTCGAAATATTGAGTTTTGACTGTATATATACACCAAGTGAGTGCTGCAGGCCCATTTGGCTTCTTGTCCTAAAAAAATTGCTATTCATCATAAATGACTAAGCAGATTTTGACCTAGTTAGGTCTGAAGTATTCTTGGGTACAGGAAAATAAATTTGGTATAAATTGTTGGTTGTTCCCCCTTGAGGTGAGAGGGGTGTAAGGGGAAATAGAGCAAATCCTTTAAAATCTTTCTTTTGTAGGAATGCCTGAATCCTGCCTCAATTTGGTGTAAAGCATCTTTTGGTGAAGGAAAACCAAAGCTGTATAAAAAGATGGGTTTCAGCCCTTTTGGGATGGGAGTGGCAGGGCATCATAGGGCAGATTCTTTAGAATCCTTCTTCTTAAGGCAGACCTTGATTTTGTCTCAATTTCATCTGAAGCATGCTAAGGTCAAGGTGAATCAATTTTGTGGGAATGCCGTGATTCTGTCCTTCATACCAGGATTAAGGGAACGCTTTTTTGTGTAAACCAGGAATCCTGCTTATGCCAAAAATTTGGGGGCTTACAGGGGCAATGTAGCAACTTCTTAAAAATCCCTCCATCCATACAAGGATATTGTCATGCTTGGTCAGAAGCATTCCTTGGAGAAAGAGACTCAACTTTGTATAAACAGTAAACTTGACTTCCTGGAGGCCACGGTCCAATAGAGAAATTATCTAAGAAATGATTCTTCCTCTTTTTGATTTTTTGTTAAATGACTGAGTTAGATGAGTGATACAGGCCCCTATGGGCCTCTAGTTACAACATTTTTTAAAATCTTGGAAAAAAACCTTTAATGTCAAGAAACTTACAAATAAAAGAAAAGTTTTGTGAATAGAAAACAAAGGAGGAAAGTGTACTAAATGGCCCAGCAGGGGGTTCTAGATCAAGAAATTTTGAGAAAAAAATCTATCATGTATCTAGATGAACTGTGACAGTGATTTCGGTGTTGTTTGATGTCAGAGATTTTGATGATGTGTAATATCAATGATTTTGGTGACGTGTGATGTTGGTGGGATGTAAGTGGTCTTGGTGTGATATAAGTGGTTTTGGTGATGTGTGATGTAAGAAGTTTTGTTTTGGTGTGATGTAAGTGATTTTGGTGTGATGTAAGTGGTTTTGGTGATGTGTGCTGTAAGTGGTTTTGGTGATGTGTTATGTAAGTGATCTTGGTGTGATGAAAGTGGTTTTGGTGATGTGTGATGTTAGTGGTTTTTGTGTGATGAAAGTGGTTTTGGTGATGTGTGATATAAATGGTTTTGGTGATGTGTGATATAAATGGTTATGGTGATGTGTGATGTAAGAGGTCTTGGTGTGATGTAAGTGGTTTTGGTGTGATGTAAGTTGTTTTGGTGTTATGTAAGTAGTTTTGATGTGATGTAAGTGGTCTTGATGTGATGTAAGTGGTTTTGGTGTTTTGTGATGTAACTGGTTTTGGTGATGTGTGATGTAAGTGGTTTTGGTGTGATGTAAGTGGTTTTGGTGTGATGTAAGTGGTTTTGATGATGAGTGATGTAAGTTGTTTTGGTGTGATGTAAGTGGTTTTGGTGTGATGTAAGTGGTTTTGGTGTGATGTAAGTGGTTTTGGTGATGTGTGATGTAAGTGGTTTTGGTGTGATGTAAGTGGTTTTGGTGATGTGTGATGTAAGTGGTTCTGGTGTGATGTAAGTGGTTTTGGTGTGATGTAAGTGGTTTTGTTGTGATGTAAGTGGTTTTGGTGTGATGTAAGTGGTTTTGGTGTGATGTAAGTGGTTTTGGTGGTTTTGGTGTGATGTAAGTGGTTTTGGTGTGATGTAAGTGGTTTTGTGTGATAAGTGGTTTTGCTGATGAGTGGTCTTGGTGTGATGTAAATGGTTTTGGTGTGATGTAAGCGGTCTTGGTGTGATGTAAAGTTGATTTGTTGTGATGTAAGTGGTGATGTGTGATGTTAGTGGTTTTGATGAGTGATGTAAGTGGTTTTGGTGTGATATAAGTGTTTTTGGTGATGTGTGATGTAAGTGGTTTTGGTGATGTGTGATGTAAGTGGTTTTGGTGTTGTGTGATGTATGTGGTTTTGGTGTGATGTAAGTGGTTTTGGTGATGTGTGATGTAAGTGGTTTTGGTGTGATGTAAGTGGTTTTGGTGTGATGTAAGTGGTTTTGGTGTGATGTAAGTAGTTTTGTTGTGATGTAAGTGGTTTTGGTGTGATGTAAGTGGTTTTGGTGATGTGTGATGTAAGTGGTTTGGTGACGTGTGATGAAAGTGGTTTTGGTGTTGTGTGATGTAATGTGGTTTTGGTGTGATGTAAGTGGTTTTGGATGTGTGTGATGTGCTGTAAGTGGTTTTTGATGTGTGATGTAAGTGGTTTTTTGGTGTAGTTTTGGTGTGATGTAAGTGGTTTTGGTGTGATGTAAGTGGTTTTGGTGTGATGTAAGTGGTTTTGGTGTGATGTAAGTAGTTTTGGTGTGATGTAAGTGGTTTTGGTGATGTGTGATGTAAGTGGGTTTGGTGATGTGTGATGAAAGTGGTTTTGGTGTGATGTTAGTGGTTTTTGTGTGATGTAAGTGGTTTTGGTGATGTGTGATGTAAGTGGTTTTGATGATGAGTGATGTAAGTGGTTTTGATGATGAGTGATGTAAGTGGTTTTGGTGTGATATAAGTGTTTTTGGTGTGATGTAAATAGTTTTAGTGATGTGTGATGTAAGTGGTTTTGGTGATGTGTGCTGTAAGTGGCTTTGGTGATATGTGATGTAAATGGTTTTGGTGTGATGTAAGTGGTTTTGGTGTGATGTAAGTGGTTTTGGTGTGATGTAAGTGGTTTTGGTGTGATGTAAGTGGTTTTGGTGATGTGTGATGTAAGTGGTTTTGGTGTGATGTAAGTAGTTTTGTTGTGATGTAAGTGGTTTTGGTGTGATGTAAGTGGTTTTGGTGTGATGTAAGTGGTTTTGGTGTGATGTAAGTGGTTTTGGTGTGATGTAAGTAGTTTTGGTGTGATGTAAGTGGTTTTGGTGATGTGTGATGTAAGTGGTTTTGGTGTGATGTAAGTGGTTTTGGTGTGATGTAAGTAGTTTTGGTGTGATGTAAGTGGTTTTGGTGATGTGTGATGTAAGTGGTTTTGGTGTGATGTAAGTGGTTTTGTTGTGATGTAAGTGGTTTTGGTGTGATGTAAGTGGTTTTGGTGATGTGTGATGTAAGTGGTTTTGGTGTGATGTAAGTGGTTTTGGTGATGTGTGATGTAGGAGGTTTTGGTGTGATGGAAGTTGTTTTTGTGTGATGTGAGTGGTTTTTGTGTGATGTAAGTTGTTTTGGTGTGATGTAAGAAGTTTTGGTGTGATGTAAGTAGTTTTGGTGTTATGTAAATGGTCTTGGTGTGATGTAAGTTATTTTGGTGTGATGTAAGTGGTCTTGTGTGATGTAAGTTGTTTTGGTGTGATGTAAGAAGTTTTGGTGTGATGTAAGTGGTCTTGGTGTGATGTAAGTTATTTTGGTGTAATGTAAGTGGTCTTGTGTGATGTAAGTTGTTTTGGTGTGATGTAAGAAGTTTTGGTGTTATGTAAATGGTCTTGGTGTGATGTAAGTGGTTTTGGTGATGTGTGATGTAAGTGGTTTTGGTTTGATGTGAGTGGTTTTTGTGTAATGTAAGAGGTCTTGGTGTGATGGAAGTAGTTTTTGTGTGATGTAAGAGTTTTTTGTGTGATGTAAGTGGTTTTGGTGATGTGTGATGTAAGTGGTCTTGGTGTGATGTAATTTGTTTTGTGTGATTTGAGTGGTTTTTGTGTGATGTAAGAGGTTTTAGTGTGATGTAAGTAGTTTTGTTGTTTTGTAACTGGTGTTGGTATGATGTAAGTGGTTTTGGTGATGTGTGATGTAAGTTGTTTTGGTGTGATGCAAGTAGTTGTGGTGTGATGTAAGTGGTTTTGGTGTGATGTAAGTTGTTTTGGTGTGATGTAAGTGGTCCTGGTGTGATGTAAGTATTTTTGGTGATGTGTGATGTAAGTGGGTTTGGTGATGTGTGCTGTAAATGGTTTTGGGGATTTGTGATGTAAGAATGTGATGTAAATAGTTTTGGTGTGATGGAAGTAGTTTTGGTGTGATGTAAGTAGTTTTGGTGTGATGTACGTGGTTTTGGTGTGATGTAAGTGGTTTTGGTGATGTGTGATGTAAGTTGTTTTGGTGTGATGTAAGTGGTTTTGGTGTGATGTAAGTGGTTTTGGTGATGTGTGATGTAAGTGGTGTTGGTGTGATGTAAGTGGTTTTGGTGATGTGTGCTGTAAATGGTTTTGGTGTGATGTAAGTGGTTTTGGTGTGATGTAAGTTGTTTTGGTGTTATGTAAGTAGTTTTGATGTGATGTAAGTGGTCTTGGTGTGATGTAAGTAATTTTGGTGTGATGTAAGTGGTCTTGTATGATGTAAGTAGTTTTGGTGTGATGTAAGTGGTGTTGGTATGATGTAAGTGGTTTTGGTGACGTGTGATGTAAGTGGTTTGGTGTTGTGTGATTTAACTGGTGTTGGTATGATGTAAGTGGTTTTGGTGATGTGTGATGTAAGTTGTTTTGGTGTGATGTAAGTAGTTGTGGTGTGATGTAAGTGGTTTTGGTGTGATGTAAGTGGTTTTGGTGATGTGTGATGTAAGTGGTTTGATTGGTCTTGTGTGATGTAAGTGGTTTTGGTGTGATGTAAGTTGTTTTGGTGTGATGTAAGTGGTTTTTTGTGTGATGTAAGTGGTTTTGGTGTGATGTAAGTGGTTTTGGTGTGATGTAAGTTGTTTTTGTTGTGTGATGTAAGTGGTGTTGGTGTGATGTAAGTGGTTTTGGTGATGTGTGATGTAAGTGGTTTTGGTGATGTGTGATGTATGTGATGTAAGTAGTTTTGGTGTGATGTAAGTAGTTTTGGTGTGATGTACGTGGTTTTGGTGTGATGTAAGTGGTTTTGGTGATGTGTGATGTAAGTTGTTTTGGTGTGATGTAAGTAGTTTTGGTGTGATGTAAGTGGTTTTGGTGATGTGTGCTGTAAGTGGTCTTGGTGTGATGTAAGTGGTTTTGGTGTGACGTCAGTTGTTTTGGTGTTATGTAAGTGGTCTTGGTGTGATGTAAGTGGTTTTAGTGCTATGTGCTGTAAGTGGTTTTGGGGATGTGTGATGTATGTGGTGTTGGTGTGATGTAAGTGGTTTTTTTTGTGATGTAAGGAGGTTTTGATGTGATGGAAGTTGTTTTGGTATGATATAAGTTGTTTTGGTGTGATGTGAGTGGTTTTTGTGTGATGTAAGTGGTCTTGGTGTGATATAAGTTATTTTGGTGTGATGTGAGTGGTTTTTGTGTGATGTAAGAGGTTTAGATATGATGTAAATAGTTTTGGTGTGATGTAAGTGGTGTTGGTATGATGTAAGTGGTTTTGGTGATGTGTGATGTAAGTTGTTTTGGTGTGATGTAAGTAGTTG